ATATAAAAGGGAATTCTTTTTGTATCTTTTCTTTTTCACTATTTGGAAGATTTACATTTAAGATCTCAGTTTTTGTTGGGTTGATTTTCAGATTTGATAGCTCCCCATAATCCTTTAAGCTCTTCATTAAGTTTGGGAGTGTTATTCCCACGTAGAGCAACAGGTCATCCGCAAAGGCTGCTACTTTATGCTCAATTCCTCCTATCTGTATTCCTTTTTATGTCCATATTCTTCCTAATTGTTGCCAGTAAAGGTTCCAATGATAATGAATACAACAATGGGGACCGTGGACATCCCTGTCTTGTTCCATTTGACATCCCAATAGGTTCCGACCTCTCTCCATTAACCACAATAACCGCAGAGGGATTTCTATACAGTTTTCCTATCCACTCTCTCATTCTAACTCCCAATCCTAGAGTCTCCAGAGTGTCCATCATAAAGCTCCAATCTACTCTATCAAATGCCTTTTCAGCATCGATCAAAAGCACCACTACCGGAGTTTTCCCCTTCTTAGCTTTCTGGATAAGCAACAAAGTTCTCAACCCATTATTTCTACCCTCCCTCCCTGGTACAAATCCTACCTGATCCCCCTGGATCCATTCTGGCATTAAATCTTTCAACCTATTTGCTAAAACCTTTGCATATAACTTAGTGTTTATGTTCAAAAGTGAGATTGGTCTATAGCTAGAGCACTGAGAAACATCCTTCCCTTCCTTTTGAATAAGCGCCACATGGGCCCGAATAGTTGCCATTTCTTGCTTTATTGTTTTGTCCAAACTTTTAAACATTTCTGTCATCTCTTTTTTTATTCGGTACACGTAGTTCACTTATAGATTCTTTCTTCTCCATAATACCTACTATTTGTTGACTACAGCTACTATTCATGTCCAATGATAATCTCGGGCTATTTTCCAGACTAGTTTCCATTTCACCCTTTTCACTGCCGCCTTGGGACCTTTCTGGGGTAACGTTTCCCTGGGATGTGTATTTTTTGATCGCACCAGTTTGGGGCCCTTTGACCCCGCTTCCTTTAACTCCTTTGTTCTTCATATCCTCTATAGGTCTTATTCTCTTCTATATACTCGGGATAGGTAAATGTTAAATGTCTATATTCGTGTCCCAGCCTTGCGCTTTACTATTTGTCCATTTACTTTTACTTTTATGGGTCCTCTTAATCCTCTTCTCTTCTCCACTTCTTCATGACCCTTGGGAATCCCCCCTCCTCTCCTTCACCTATTGCTCTTCTATACACTATAGTATGGCAGTTAGCACACAACAAGCCCTGGCCGCTCTCACTCACCCTCCTCTTTCTTCTTTTTCTGCGAGGCGGCTCCGGGCTTCAGGTGTAGGGCTCTCCTGAGTAAATCCGTCCTTAGGGGGATTCCTCTGGATCTCTTGCTCTTCTCTTTTAAATCCCCGTTTTTATTAGGGGTCCATCCATGGAGAGCAAGCTGGGTCTCATGGGTCCACTTCAAACCGGACCGCAAGCCGGGGATCAAGGTCAGGAGTAGACCAGCACCTCCTTCTCTTCTCAAGAAGCCGGCTGGCTTCTTTTCCTCCCAGTGCTCCCCTGCACCAGACCACGTGGTCATGCCGTGTCACCTCATCTCCCAGCAACCGGCTCTGCGTCCCGTATAGCCCCGGGGGGATTAATCTCTGTCTCCACCTCCCAGACTCTCACGTCCCCGGCTCTCTTGCTCTCTCCGCCGAGTCCTTCCGCTCTCCGGTAAGTCTCACCCCACTTTTCCTACATCAGGAGGGCCCTTGGGGAGGTCGGGTAGCGGAGCCTGACTGAGAGCTACTACCTCGCGCTCTCCTCAGCCGCCATGTTCAGGCTCCTCCCCCCTCAGATACGTGCTCCGTTTGACGATCGTTTTGATCATATCACACGATTGGATAATCTGAATCAATCCTATTACCCTCAGAAGGTCAGGAAGGATTTTTTTCCCCTGCTTGAGCAAATTGGAGCATGGATCCACTGTGGGTTCAGGGTTCAGTATATGGAGTTTTTTTTTTTTTTTAATTTCTCTTTCAATTTAATTTTTTTTCTATTGCTTGTCTTTTTTTTAACCAGGCTATGTCATAAAGTCAAAGTGTGTATGGCCACCATTAGGTTTTTCATAAATTGAATGTAGTGGTCAGTATCAATCTATATGGCCATCTTTAGAAGCCTATTGACATAACAGACCAAACACCTGTTCATGACTTGCATGTTGAATTCTGTCTTGTGACCATTACCCTCTATAACAGGATTTGTCTTCACTTGCCACTGTGTTTCTTAGTTTCAAGCAACAGTCAAGGAAAGAAGAGTAAAAAGAAGCAAAGAAGGCAAAAAAAGAATGTTGAGAGTGAGATACTCAGGATTCCGGAGCCATGCAGCCCCAGCATAGACAGCCAGCCTGGGTGAGTGGTCAGGCCATCTCACTGATTACTTGGCAATTTGCTAATTTGTTGCATGGGAACTGATAAAATTTCTATTAGCATGTCTGATCTCATAAAAAAAAATATATGTTTAGTTATTGCAGTAGAAGAATAAATAAGCTTAAGTACAGTACTCAAATTAGGCCCAATAATTATATGTTCGGGAATTAATATTTGTTCAAATTGACATTGTACTTATGGCCTTCATTTCATAGTTTAAAGTGATTGTAAAGCATTTTTTTATTGTTTAATTAAAATAACAAAGGCGTTATACTTACCTGCTCTGTGCAATGGTGCAAACGTCTTCTGGGGTTTTTCTCTTCTGTGTCTGTGTGTCATAGCTCTTGCTATGGGGCAGATGTGTGGGCTTGCTCCCAAGCTGGGGTATGTGAGTCTACAGGCACACAGTGTGATTTGGCTTCAACCCCCCAATCCCTCCTGATAGGATTTAACTGACAGCAGCAGGAGCCAATAGCAGTGAGAGGAGAAGAGATGCTGCAGAGGGCACAACTCTGGGTCGAGATTGGATTCAGATAAGTGTTTAAGGGAGGGCTGAGGGGGAGCTGCTATTTAAAGGTTTTTTACCTTAATGCAGATAATGCATTAAGATGATAAATAAAAATTAGGTCCTTTTTAAGCTCTACTGTATGGTTATAGCAGTTGTGTTGTGGTGTGTGTGACCACAGCATAACTCTGTGTGTTTGTGACTGTCTGGAGGATCAGAGTGGAGAGCAATGACTGATAATCAATGCTCTCTGCAGACCTAGCACAGAGCGCTTAACGGTCATGGGATCGTTCAGTTATTGGGTTTAGAGCCGACGTGGGACAGCTGCAGCATTACACCAATGCTGCAGCAAAGAGGTGAGTATGGTGAGTTTATTTTTTTATAAACCCCAAAGTTCTTCTATAAAGCCCAACGCTGTAACATGTAAGTGCTGGTCTAATCAACATACCACTCTGAGCCCTGGCTGAATGATGACACATGCCCAGGTCATTGACAGCAAGGGCTCACAGGAAGGGGTTGGATGCCATTGGGCATCATTCAACCCAGAAGTGAGCCGATGACCAGCGATGCAGAATGAGGCACTGGAGAAGGTGAGTAGTACTATTTTAAGATTTGATTTTCTGTAATGCAATGAATGGAAAGAATAAAGTACAGCGAACGCTGCAGTCTTACAGGTCCTATGCTGACTTCCCTTCTGACCACAGAGGGTTGCATTCTCAGCACTGCTGCCATGTATTTTTTTCTGCCCTACTTCTTTGCCTCGTCTAATCAGAGAATGCCTTGTACTGTGAATGAGCTAGCAACCCCCTGTGGTTGGGCGAGCAACCCCCTGTGGTCACTATGCATAAAAGAAGTTACACAAGACCCAGAGTAAGGTTGCAGTGACTACTACAGTAATTGTTGGCTTGCCCAGTGGCCCTGCTGGTATGAGAAATTGCCTAATTACTTGGTCCAAGCGAGATCAATGTAATGTAGCAATAAAGATACCTGGACTTCTACTTTAAAGTGGTTGTAAACCTCAGACATGAAATCTGAACAAAGCACATTCTTCTATGCTGTGTACTTGCCTCTATCCAAAGCAATTAGTGTGATTTCACTTGCTGCCTTGTTCCTTTGTTATCAGCATAAGTCACTTATGACGGGAAGTGAAAAAAAAGGTGACGGGAGGAGAGCTCCAGCACACAGCCTGTGGAGGGTTTTGTGTCCCTTCCCTCCAATCAGGGCTTAGAGATACCCTCACAGAGATCTGCACTGGTCCCCACTCCCTGCTGCTAGAGCTGGGAAAGAAATCTTTTGATCTGTGTGTTTTTTGCAAGATCTACAGAAAAGAGACTGCAGACAAATAGGTACAAGTTATGTAGGAGAGTTTGTTTCATGTGTGTGCATGTATCGTCTGAGGCCAGTCACTTCACTGGGTGTATGTGAGTGTTTACAACCACTTTAAGGTCCCATGCACATCAGCACATTAGCACATTCTGCTCCATTGTGGTAAGTCACACGTTAATGTGTGTTATGTTAAAACAAAACAACAGATCTTCTGTTTCTGCAGCATTTTAATTAGTGCAGCACCCAGTAGTGCTTTACTCTGCATTGTGGTACTTGCAATAGGAAGATGCACTTGGGGGGGGGCTTTCAGAATGAATGGCACCATCACGTTACTGCTGTGCACTGGCATAAATGTTTCTTATTTAACCACCTGCCCTCCAGAGTATTTACCCCCCTTCCTGGCCAGGCCATTTTTTGCGTTACATTAACTGACAATTGCATGGTCATGCAACGCTGCACCTAAAAAAAAAAAAATTTAATTTTTGTCATTTTTTTCCCCCACAAATAGAGCTTTCTTTCGGTGGAATTTGATCTCCTGTGCGTTTTTATTTTTTGCGCTATAAACAAAAAAGTCCGACAATTTTGAGAAAAAAACACAATATTTTTTACATTTTGCTATTACACATGTTCAATAAAAAATGTTATAAATCAAATTTCGTCATAAATTTAGGCCAAAATGTATTTTGTTACATGTCTTTGCTAAAAAAAAATTCCCAATACGTGTAAATTAACTAGTAATGGCGGTGATCAGCGACTTATAGCGGGACTGCGGTGGGCATTCTGACACTGGGGGAACTGACTTGGTGTCACTGACATCTCCAGTGACACCAATACAGTGATCAGTGCTGATAAAAAGCACTGACATTGTATTAATGGCACTGGGCAGGAAGGGGTTAACATATGTGGCGATCAAAGGGTTGACTGTGTGCTGTATGTGTTTTACTATGGGGCTGTGTCTGTGCTTTCCCGTGTAAGCACACTGCTTTGTATGGCTCTGCTAGGCAGAGCCATACAAAGCAGTGTGCTGGAGCTGACATGGGAGAGAACTGTATTGTTTACATACAGTTCTCTCCCCCCCATCTCTATTACTCGGCAATGACCGGGTGCCGGCAAGTAATCTCCGACTGGCACCCAGAGATTGACAGCCAAGGCCGCGAATGGCGGCACAGGTAGGGTCCGCGCTCGCCCCTTACCCATAAATGCAAACTCACGTATATATACATGATTTTGTGTACCCCTGCCACTCTGTACCAGTATTTATGCTATAGAGCGGCGGTAAAGCGGTTAAAGGCTGTAATCTGAGTAGGCCTTGATCATTATACTGTCCTTGTGCACTTTGACTGCACATGTTCCTCAAGCTAGTGTTTGTGAAGTGGTTTTCTGATGGTCTGGATCTACACACTGGAACTCTTACACTTGATCCCAACCCCCACAGGCTGGCAGCTGCTGTGTATTTATAACCCTGACACTGCTTCCAATCTATCTGTGAGCTGTGAAATCATCACAGTCCCATTCAGAGCTTGGGGCCAAGAAGCATGTTGTAGTCTCAATACTGTAGTCTTTACTTGTATATATGGTTCCACAATGTACAATGGACCATGTTCTAGAAATGACAGGTCTATGATTATATGAACAGTGCTGCTGAATAGAATAGATAATGTCATGTAGGAGGCTTGTACTGTGTCTGCCAGTGCTGTACTCTGTATGCTCTCAGTATAGAGGCTGGTGAGTGATGGTGAGTGATGCTGGAGAATCTGGATCCGCTCTTCTGTCATTCTCAGCTTGATAAGTTTTGATGTTTTTCTCAAAATGGAATTTTATTCACAAAATAAAAACGTGTGAACAGACAGGCGTTTTTTTATATAGAAGAGACATATTGGGGGTTATTTACTAAAGCTGGCGAGTGCAAAATCAGTCTCACTTCTCTGTAGAAACCAATCAGCTTCTGATCTCAGCTTGTTCAATTAAGATTTGGCAATAAAACCTGGAAGCTGATTGGTTTCAATGCAGAAGTGAGCCTGATGTTGCACTCTTCAGCTTTAGTAAATAAACCTGAATATGTTTCTACTGCATTGAAGTATCCTTACCTACTTGTTCGTAGGGTCGGTTCATACCTGAAATACACAGTCACATGGTCCACGTTCCTGTGCAATTCAGTGCTTTGTGATTTTCAGCCCATTCATTTGAATGAGCTGAAACCACATTGGATAGCACCAAAAATAATGTATTTAGTACTTTTCAACAATGCACTGACCTCAATGCACTGTATAATTTGGAGACTATGTGGCAAATTACGTTTAATATCGATAAGTGTAAAGTTATTCACTTGGGGGCTAAATATATGCATGCATCAAACATTCTAAGGGGAGAACAGTTAAGAGAATCAATGGTGGAAAAGGATCTGGGAGTTCTGGTGAATCATATGCTTAATAATAGCATGCAGTGTCAAGCTGCGGTTTCCAAAGTGTATGAAATCCTTTCTAGTAATGAAAGAGATATGGACTGCAGAAAGAGAGATACCATTTTACCCCTGTACAAATCATTAGTAAGACCTTGTGTGGAGTATGCAGTTCAAGCGGAGTTCCAGCTGAATAAAAAGTTAAATAAAAGTCAGCAGCTACAAAAACTGTAGCTGCTGACTTTTAAAATACCGACACTTACCTGTTCCTCAGTCCAACGGTGTGCTCACCACCGCTGGTTTCACCGGCCGTCTTCTCTCCCTGGCGCCGGCATCTTTATTGTGGGCATCTAGCTGTGACACAGCTTGCGGCTTCACAGCCGGGTGCCCACTGTGCATGCGTGAGAAGCTCTGCGCTTCCTAAATGGTCCCCTAGTCTTCTGGGACCTGTCACGTGTCCCAGAAGACTACGGGGAGGGAGGGTGAGAGGACAACTTCCGCATCCGAATGCCTAGGTGATCGGAGCAGATGAGATGTGGGAGCGAATTCCTGTCAAATTCGGTACCTGCTCCCCCCCCGCTCCTCAAAGGTTCAATCCCTAATGGGGAGCGGGGGAAAAAGCATTATAGCGGAACTTCCCCGTTTGGGTGGAACTCCACTTTAACCACCTCCCGTCCGGCCGTTGTATATAAACAGCCGGACGGTGGCAGTGCATGGTTGGGTGGCTGTTTATGAATGGCCTCCCCTCCCTCTGCTTGTGCACTCTCCCTGGGAGCGCACAGCACCACGATCCGGTGCCCGATCATCGTACTGGACCTCTCTGCGAGGTCCCGATCATGTGATCACTGATTGGCCAATCCGTAATCACATGCAGAGTAGTAAGCAAGATGTCACTTCTGACATCATTGCTTACTACGTGTGAAATCTGTGAATGATCACAGAGGTCACATGGTAAAAGGCTATTCACAACAGCCTTGTACCATGTGACAAGCTGTGACCAATCACAGCTCACACAGTAGTTGCAGAATGCAGCCAGAGAGAAGGAGAAATTATTGCTTTTACAGCCTTTATGGGTGTAAAAGCAATCGGTGTAAAAAAAAAAAAAATCTTCATCACCCCCCACAAGTAGTGCTGTGTCACTATGGTGACACTGTACTGCTAGGGTGACAGTATGTTAAAAAAAAAAACATAAATAATAATATAAAAAAAAAAATAAAAATGTAAAAAAAAAATGTTCAAAAATTATAGTTTTTGGTTATAAACTAATTTGGATTTTTCTTTTTACTAAAAAGATAACAGAATAAATTTTGGCCAAGATTTATGATGAAATATTATTTATTTGCAAAATTTTATAAGAAAAACATTTATAAAAAAATTCATATGGGTACAGTGTTGCATGACTGCGCAATTGTCAAAGTGTGATAGCGCTGAAAGCTGAAAATTGGCCTGGACAGGAAGGGGGTAAAAGTGTCCGGACTGGAAGTGGTTAAGTTTTAGGCACCAGTTCACAAAAAGGATATTGGGAACTGGATAAAGTACAGAGAAGGGCAACCAAACTGATAAGAGGAGCTTAGCTATGAGGAAAGATTAGAGGAACTGAATTTATTCTCTTAAGAAGAGGAGATTAACTTCTTGCTGACCAGCCACTGTAGAAATACGGCACCACTTTAAAACGTGCTTTTGCAAAACAGGTAGGGGGCGCGCGTGAGGCGCGCCACCGCCCTACCTGCGCCGCCGATCGTGGCCGCAGGTGTCAATCGCTGTGTCACGGCCGGTCATTACCTGCCGTGTCCCAGCGATCAGCGGCAATCACTGACAGAGCACGGCTGCAGTGTTTGCAGTGCACCTCTGCTTTCTGTCAGTTCCCTGTCAGCTCCTGACATGCTGATCAGGAGAGAAGAGTTTTATCTCTCCAGATCAGCGTGTTCCCATGCAGTACACACCCCCGCCCCCTAGTAAAACACTCCCCTCACACAGTTAACCCTTTCATTGAATAAAAAAGTTAACCCCTTCCTCCCCAGTGCCATTAGTACAGTGTCAGTGTTTTTTTTTTTTTTTTTTTGCACTGATCACTGTATTGGTGTCACTAGGGATGTCAGTGACTCCAAGTCAGTTCCCCCCCAGTGTCAGAATGTCCGCCGCAGTCCTGCCATAAGTCGCTGATCGCTGCCATAAGTCACTGATCGCCGCCATAAGTCGCTGATCGCCGCCATTATTAGTATAAAATTTTTTTAAAATCCCAGTATCTTTCCCGTCATTTGTAAGCATTATAACTTTCACGTAAACCAATTAATTTATTTAAATTGGAGTGTTTTTTTTTAGCAAAGACACGTCGCAGAATGCATTTTGGCGAAAATTTATGACAAAATTTGATTTTTAAATTTTTTTACTGGACATGTTTTATAGCAAAAAGTCCAAAATATCGTTTTTTTTTCTCAAAATTGTCAGCCTTTTTTTTTTCTATAGCGCAAAAAATAAAGGCACAGGCGATCAAATACTGCCGAAAGAAAGCTCAATTCGTGGGGGAAAAAAAAACACGTAAATTTAATTCGGGTGCAGTGTTGCATGACCACGCAATTGTCAGTTAAAGTAACGCAGCGACGTAAAACAAACCTTTTCTGTAACCGCTTCCAGACCACCCTATAGCTGAAATACTGCTACAGGGCGGCATGGGTGCGCAAAATCACACACACACACACACACACATATATATATATATATATATATATATACATACATGATTTGCACTCCCATGGTTTTCACGCCGCTCCCAGATAGCGTCAGATTGCCCATCAGTACACCAGTCATCACATTTAACCCCTTGATTGCCAGGAGCACGCTCATGTACAATAAACCTCCATTGCTAGTATAGTGTCTGAACGGGTCAATATCTTTGATCAAATCAGCACTATACCAGCGTTCATATTAGTATAGCGTCCCCAAAAAAATGCAGCGTTAGTGGGATCAGCCCCGGCACCTGCCAGCACCTGCGTTTAGCCCCTACGCTTACCCCCCCCCTTCTCCCCCAGCAAATGCAGTGTCAGTGAGATCCCTGTCACTTGATACATTGCACACAAAACTGCAGTGTTCGCAGAATCAGGCCTGATCTCTGTTAGCACTTGCCGGTAAATTTTGATGACTCTCATATGCAGCAGAGTGCCAGTACTAGTGCCGCTCTACCTTTTGGTGAACTGGCGAGTACCAGCAGTCTAGTACATCTTGGTCTTTCACATACCTCCTTGATTTTTGGAGCTGTTTTTCACGGAATATCTGTATGCGTTGATTGTGGATCAAAGCAATTTATATGCACAACAATTTATCGCCGCCAACCCAAATTCAAACCTTGCCAGACCATTCGCATGGAAACTTATTACGGTTTTCGAATTTACATTTTTTTTGGGCCTAACCCTCAACATGGGCATTACTAAAAGAAATGAATTGCCGTTGTATTGGTCCGCAGACCCGATTCATCATATGCCCGTGTTCTCTGCTGCCATGGCCAGGCATAGATATGAGAGTATAATGTGTTTTATGCATTTCAACGACAATACACTCTGTCATCCTCGAGGTGACCCTGAATTTGACTGGCTCCACAAAATTCAGCCCCTCGCAAATCACCTTAACCAAAAATTTGCAGATGTCTATACTCCCCAGCAAAACGTCTGCGTTGATGAGTCCCTCATTAATTTTTCTGGCCGCCTTGCATTCAAACAATTTCTCCCCTTCAAGCGAGCCAGATATGGGGTCAAGATGTAGAAGACCTGTGAGA